TAAATAAATAAAATATTAGCCAAGGAGGAGTTTTGTTAAGCAGTTCAAAAATGAATGACGCGATTTTAGAAGAATATTTAGAAGCTTGAAAGCAGAGAGTTTCTTCTTGTTAATATGCAAAAAGTGAAAAAAAAAATTGTACATTTTCTCAGTGCACATTCGCCTTTCAGCAGTCCTTTTTCGGGCTTCTCTCTTTTTGAAGGCTTACGTTCTATTGCATTGATTTACTTTGACGGTCGCTAATTGGGACCCGTTTCTTTTCTGTTCCTGCTATCCTTAACTCCCTTTGCTCCGTAATGATCTTTGGTATTCCGTGTAGTCTATCAAACGCTAAATTGAAGACTGGGTTAGTAGTGCGACCAACGGGTTAGCTAATTGGGGTTGAACTGGGCTAGTTTTGCAATACCGCAAGCGATAGCTTGCACTGCAAAGAGTTTATTATCTTGATCAATCATATTGACTATAGTCATTGATATATGAATGTTAACCGTGATCAAAAACTTGGCTCAACTCAGTCAAGTCAGATACCGCAGTTGGTGTTAATGCAATTTAAACAAGACATAAAACGAACTTCGGCACGCCAAAATTATATATTAATATATAATGGCTTTATATTAAATTTTATGAAAATCTGTTGCAAACTGGAAAAGTTAAATTTTTCCAATCGCTCCTATGGCGGCTATATGATATGTCTTGCTGGTTCCAACTTATATACGAGTAAGAGTATATAAAAGACTAACTACAAAATTTCAATGAGATAGGTTTAATACTGAGGGACTAGTTTGCGTACATGGCTGACATGGCTAGATCGACTCGGCTGTTAATCCTGATCAAGAATATATATACTTTAAATGGTCGGAGATGACAGCTTCACTGCGTTGCAAACTTTTGACTGAAATTATAATACCTTGCAAATGTTAAAAAATGCCAAAAATAAAGTTACAATCATTCAATTACCGATGCAACTTCTAAATTATTTCACCAGTTAAATGAATTTTTGGGACATTCTCATGCATATTGTGTGCCCTCCGATGAATCGCCATTGAAACTTATTGCTTCATTAATAATGTCTGCCCGAAAAGGACACTTTCCACTTAATCACAAATATTTATTAATTCAGCGGGCAGCGCTATATTATTTGGCACCGCCCACTTTTTTCGAAGCCATGCGGCAAGGGGCGGAAGCCAGGCAATTATCCATTTATTTCATAATTTCAATAACTTTTCATACACTTGATGTGGGTGTGAGTTGGACTGGGGAGAAAGGCTGCTGTGATAGGTGGGTGAAATGGGTGGTGGTTTGTTTGGTTACTTGCCCCGGTGGCTGGTTTTATTTTATGTAACTGCCTGGTGGTGGTTCCCGAATGCCGATGATGATGACTATGAGGTCTCGGTGGACGATGAAATTGTGTCCTGTGAGTCTGCCCTTGCCCTCTGGCTGCTGCTCTCATGTTGAGACCGGAAATCGGAAAAGGATGAGCGGCGGGAAAAATCAAAGCAAACACAAACGTTAGCACGCATTCACTCTTAGCCAAATGCAGCGCTGCCAACGCTGACGCCGCAGCCGGCGGCGGCTGCTGCCAATATTGTAAAAATTTTACGGCCACGAACTTTTGAGTTCAGTTGAGTTTGCAACACGTTCGAGTTTGCATGCGTCGCCGGCAGCGACATTTTTCCCTCCGCTCCGATTTCCACTGCGATTTCCACTACAGCCGAACTGTAGGCAATGCTTTTTTGCCGAGCCGTCGGAAGTGCTGAATTTACGGTTCACCATTTCGACCGGAAGTGCTAGTTAAAAACCTGACGAAAAGTGAAAAAAAACATATTTTTGGATTACCTTTAAAAAAGAAACACATCTGGAACTGTATTTGATGACCATACAATTGCGCTGCTAGAAGAGGTTTGTGCCACCGAAAATAGAAAGGAAATTGTCCGAAACATATGTTTTAGGGTCTAGTCCAAGGAACCGTCGGCCAGTTCAAGTGGGATTTAAAAAGACAAAGTGAATATAAAACTATTTCCTTGAACTTCTAAAATGTACATACATAAGTTGAGTGAAATATGTAGTTGTGAAATTGTGAGTGAAAAAATTGAGGTGATCATATGTACTTAACTCGTACGTTATTTTAAGTAGTGTGGAGTTTTAAACCATAAGATTTTGGCTTAAAAGGCGTTAGTTTTAATTGAGGCATCTCGCCATTCCCAAAAAAATCTAACAAAATTTCTTTATTTTCGTTTTATTTTATTCAGATTCACAGTTAAATAATGAAATTGATGCTTATTCATAATACTACCCATAAAAAAAAGCATCAAATGTACTTAATAGAATTATGTGTAATTATATTATGAAAATAAAAACAAGAAAAAAAGATACATACCTTCGGCACGACAAAGTTTTCTTTGCAGATTGCAATTCGATCACTAAGAATCGATAAAATATAATTAATATATATAAAATATAAATTATGTATTCATTTTTTGTCAAAAAACATATTTACAGTTTTACATTCACAGTTTTTCGTTTTCCTCAACATCTAACGATCGTTTGTATGACAGCTATTTGATATAGAAATTCGACTTTCATAAAATCAAAACCGAAATTCTAGAATAATAAAAAATGGCTTTATTTCAAAATATATCAAAATCGGTTGAATATTGGAAAAGTAAAACATTTTGTTTCTAAAAATTTTCCGATCATTCCTAATGCAGCTGTATGATGTAGTCGTTTGGTCCGGCCTGTTCTGACATATATACCAGTGAGAGTATATAGAAGACTAACTGCAAAGTTTCATTCAGATAACTTCAAAACGGAGACACTAGTTTGCGATGAAACGGACAGACGGACATAGCTAGATCGACTCGGCTGTTGATCCTGATCAAGAATATATATACTTTATATAGTCGGAGGTGCCTCCCTCACTGCGTTCCAAACTTCTGACTGAAATTATAATACCCTGCAAGGGTATGGGACATCAGTTGCAGTTTGCAGTTTGTAATTGGATCATTGAAAATCAATCCATTTCGGTCAAGAGAAAAAGCATAATTGGACAAATATAGAAGGATTATATGTAAAAACCTCTAACTTATTCTTATTTGCCCCGCTGGTGTAGGCGGAAAATCGAAATTTATTTCACATAACATATGTATATGTCAAATTTATTTCACATAACATATGTATATGCCATATTTTCATATTTTGGAATACATGGAAATTTGTGTAAAATTGCATAATTATAATAAATTTATTATTTTTCTGATCGTGCCCATGACAGTTACATGACATAAGCGTTCAAATCTCTTAAAATAAATATAATCGTTAAATAAAAAGAAACGATTTCCATATCACAAGGATATGAAAATATGTTTAAAAATTCCCAATCGTTTCTATGGCAACAATGATGTGGTGGTTTTGACTAATAAACTAATGAGAATAAAATTAAATTTACCTGCAATGTTATAGACAGATAGCTCTAAAACTGAGAGGCTACATTTCGTAGAAGCGGATAGAATGACATAGGTTTATAATTAGATCGATTCGGCTGGTGATGCCGATCAGGAATATACTTTTCAGTATCGGTAATAACTCCTTTACTGCGTTGCAGACTTCAGACTGAAATTCTAATTGCCTGCAGGGATATAGAAATAAAGACTATCATAATATTGGTGTCCACTAATATCCAAATAGCTAAATTTAAATCGTTGCAAAAACCTGTGAAGCATTGTGGCAATCAGGAAATATTTGTCGCCTTTCGCATTGGATTGTTTTTGGAAATTCCAAGCCGTAGGAGTCTAAGCAAAATGCATCTATTACCCCAATTTGCATTCCCCTAATGAAGCTCATTTCGCTCGAACACGATGGCGACTTCAGCTATGTATTTAGTTAATTCTGCTTAAATGCAGTTTGAGACAGTCACATCTTTAGTGAGCAGCACAAACAATGGGACGAGCAGGGAGTCGATGGTCCGGATTTCACGCACCTGGGGGGCAACAACAACTGCAATTGCGACTGCCACTGCAACGGCACAATAATGAAGCAGCAAACTGTGACAAAGTCTCAATTAGGCTATCGCATTGCCGCAGACAGAGACGGCGGTAACATGCAACTAGGAGCTACGAGCGAAACGGGTGGAGCGTACAATTAAGCAAATGGATGGGTACACTGAAACAAAGAAAGTATATAACAGGATATTTTAACTAATTTAAATACTTGTATGTTCAGAAAATGCTAACTGCTTCATTCGTAGCATAATCCATATCGATTTTGTTTTGTTCAGACAATTAGTTTGAATATCTAAAACATTTTATGTCAGCTGTTGCTAATAACTGAATAAATAAGTATTTTTGGTAACTATTATAATATTAGTATAGGAGAATTGTACTCTAATTGAGGGGTTTATTTATTATGTTGTGTATTGTAATACTGTAGGTCTATCTACTACTTACATCTAAAGAGCTTTAATTTTAATATATATTTTTTTAATCTCTCATATGCCTTCTTGATCGATATTTATATGTATTTGCTCCAAATAAATGGCTTTACTAATTACTAAAAAAAAAACTATAATTATAAGACAAGCCAAAATTCACGTGTCCCTTATTACGAGTTTTTTATACGACTAAAAATCTTTAACTTCAGAGTTAACTAACTTAACTAAAGTCAATTTGGTTGATTAAATTTAACTTTCTGATCAGTTTTCTTTTAAGTGCCTTAGCGAAAGCATCATGGGTTGGGGGCAGGCCTTAACCTGCGGTGATCCATTGTCCCATCTCAGACCACTCTGTTGACCGAGAGGTTCATGGAAGAGCAACCTGCACAGGCTAGGGATCACATTTCACTTAATTGTGTGGATTTAATCACAGTGTCGTTGACACCTGGCTGGCAGCAGCAACAGAATAGTGCCGAAGCAACAATTATTACCCAAGCATTTCTCCCATTTGCAGAAATACACGAACAGAGGAGGTGACAAAGACAGACTTGGAGACAGCGTCAAATACCTAAGCATGCTGCAGAATCCTTCCAAATATCACGCAAATCCTTTGTCACACTTCTTGGCATTGCATAACACGCAAGCCAGCGGCGGGGGATGGGCGTGGGTGTGGGGGGAATCCCTGCACATGGTCAACCGCATCATGCGCTGCCCACAGCAGCGCTGGCAGCCGCTGCAGCGGCGGCCGCCGCAGTCTCAGCGGGTCAGAGTTCATACCAAATGGAGCACCATCAGCAGCATCATAATTTACAACAGCATCATCTGCAGCAGCATCATCATCATCAGCAGCAACACCAGCAGCAGGACAACCATCTACACCCACCGACGACGACTGGGAGCAACAGCAGTAGTCACAGCAGCAACAGCAACACCAGCAATAGCAACAATAGCCACACTAACAGCATTAACATCAACCACCGGGAGCAGTTGGCGGCGGCCGCCACTGCGACGTCGCACGCGCAGCTCATCGAGGCGGCAGCGGCGCATTCCTCCCTCGACGTGGGCAAGTCCTTCACCATTGCCGCCATTTTGGGTCTGCAGAACCAACGCAAGGACTACAACAACGCCATCAATCTGTCACTACACGACAACAACAACAACAACAACAACAACAGTGGCAACAATAGCAGCAGCAACCACAACACTAACAACGGCCAGAGTATAAACAACTTTAATTGTGATAGCAGCGCCGGCAGTGGCCGCTACTTGCAAGGCGGACAACATTCGCACACGCATCCGCAACAGGCGGGATTCGCAGCCGTAGCCGCCGCTGTAGGAGCAGCTCCTTCCGCGTTGCAGAGCCTGCAGCAGCTCCACCAACAACACCATGCCCAGCAGCAGGCCTCTCTTAGCTTTCAGCGGGAGAAGCTAAAGTCAGGTAAGATAGAAGACCTACTTTTCACAAACTAAATTAATAGACGGACAGAATTTAGCTAATTAGACATTCAGTGTAGCACAACGAGTCAAGAAAAAACGCTGAAGTCGTAAGATCCTAATTGTACACTTTGAAAACATATTAATATGAGAATTGAGATTCATAAAATAAGGAAACTTTAGTATAGAGACTTACAGTTTATTTCGTGTAGCGGTAAAACTAAATTTTAACTTTGTAAATAGTTATTTACGAAAAGACTCTGAAAAATGGCTTTTAAAGGCTTTGTTTAAGCGCTTTATACATACACCTAAACGACCTACACGCAGTCCATGGCTCATGGATATTTTCATAAATTTATTTTTGTTATATTATTTTTTACTGGTTTCTATAGGACCATTGGAGAAAATTTCTGCAATTCAGAAATCATTACAAATTTCCATATTTCTGCAATTCAGAAATCATTTAAATTTAAAAATCTTAGATGTTGAAAAAAAGGATCATATCTTTACCAGACTATAAGACCTCAATACCTTCACTGATAATCCATAACATTTCAGAGTCCCATAAGAAAAGCGCACTGAAGAACAAGCGCGTCCGCACTATTTTCACACCCGAGCAACTAGAGTGCCTGGAAGCTGAGTTCGAACGGCAACAGTATATGGTCGGGCCCGAGCGGCTCTATCTGGCGCACACGCTGAAGCTGACGGAGGCACAGGTGAAGGTATGGTTCCAGAACCGGAGGATCAAGTGGCGCAAGCACCACCTGGAGCTCACCCAGCAGCGGCTGGCGTTGATTCGACAAACACAGCTACCCGGTTCCGCGATATTGGGCAATCAGGTGTCCGGTTGTACAGCGAATCCAGTGGGACACTCTGCTTCCACGGATCTTACAGCCGGCATTGCAGCTTCGCCAAGGAGCTTGCCAGAGGAGGAGGATAACGAGGACAGTAAGCAATCGCTTTCGTTGTCCGGTGCAATGCCATCGATGAGTCGGGCTCAATCCGAGTCGGATCTATCCATTTGCAATGATTCCCTAGATGGTGACAGTCTTATGGATGGCAGCGAAGAAGCTTAAGATAAAATTCCAGTGCAAAGCCAACATTTTCTGTAAATATCGTCAAAATAAATATGTAAAATATGGTTTATCTTTTCCTTTTTATCAACTGTTCGGCGAACTGTTTTGTCAAATTATAAAGCAAGATTTTATTTATATCGAATCAATTTGTATACATGTCATTAAAACAATTATTTACTGTATATATACATTGTACACTGTTACATCGGCTTCTGCACTTTTTATTTCAATTACCTATCAGGAAAAGTATACTCCAGATCATTGCTGAGCCGCCGCCCTTGCAATGCGATCGTGGCAGGATAGATGCACAATTTGACCATTTGGGTAGCGCACGAATGCTGATTGACTGGGAAATCGCTTTTTACACTCGGGGCACACACTGAACTCGTTTATTTCGAAGCTTATGTTACGCTGCGCCTGTAGCGCGACCTCTAACCGATTGACCTCTGCCTCTAGGAGGCCGCAAGTCATCTGCATCTGGTGCTTGTCGGCCAGTTTTTTGCGTATCGACTTATCAAGATACTTTTCTAATTGCGGCATGGGCATGTCATCGGGAAGGTGCTGCAACGAAAAGCGAGCATACAACTACGAGTAAAAAACAAGAAAGAAAGCTAGCTTCGGCAAGCCGAAGTATATATACCATTGCAGATAGAACTTAAATCACTTGGAATTAATACAACATAAATTCATTCAAAAAGCTTAAAAACTGAGAGACTGGTTTGCGTAGAAACGGACAGTCGGACATGGATAGAACGACTAGGCTGTTGATGATGATGATGATGTTGCCTCCTTCACTGCGTTTCAAGCTTCTGGCTAAAAAATTTTACACCTTGCAAGGGTATAAAAATAGGGAGAGTTAGGTGTTACCTCAAATATCTCGAAGGGATCTATTTTGGTGGCGTATGCATTGAGCAAGTCCAGGGCCACCTTTCGATTAACCTGAACAAAGTCCGGATGCAAGGTTACTCCCTCGTAGAGCGGCTGTGCGGGGGAATAAGAATACACTTGATGAGCGTGTGGAATATGTTCTCATCGTCATTGTAGTTGGCTTCTGCATATTCCGTCGCCTTGGCCACATCGCCTAGCACTTGAATATAGATGGCTAGCACCTTATCATGCTTCTTCAGTCGACCGAGGATAAGGGCACGCTCCTCCAGCAGCATATTGGTGGGGAATTCCTCTAGCATGCGATCTGGTGAATAAAAGTTAGATTCCTCTAGCATTTTGTAAAGCTTGGCGCGCATTGCCTTCAGGGTAGATGTCTCGCCCTCCTCACTAGAAGGGCCCTGCTGTCCCAGAAGGCGTTGTACCTGTTCGCGGTACTGCTTGAGAAGCACGTTATGCAAAAGAGTTGTCGAGTTGCGCCGCTCGTTAATTAGGTGTTCCAGGTAGGGAATGACTAGTGACTTGTGCTTGCTGATTAGAAAGTCTAGGACCTTGGCCGGCGGGAGGGACCCCTCCTCCTCTTCATCATCTAGAAGTTCTTCGGTGAAAATACATAGACCCTCCTCAGGATGCTCCTGCAGCACCCAGTCGGCAAACTCATGAGAATTGAGATTCATAAAATAAGGAAACTTTAGTATAGAGACTTACAGTTTATTTCGTGTAGCGGTAAAACTAAATTTTAACTTTGTAAATAGTTATTCACGAAAAGACTCTGAAAAATGGCTTTTAAAGGCTTTGTTTAAGCGCTTTATACATACACCTAAACGACCTACACGCAGTCCATGGCTCATGGATATTTTCATAAATTTATTTTTGTTATATTATTTTTTACTGGTTTCTATAGGACCATTGGAGAAAATTTCTGCAATTCAGAAATCATTACAAATTTCCATATTTCTGCAATTCAGAAATCATTTAAATTTAAAAATCTTAGATGTTGAAAAAAAGGATCATATCTTTACCAGACTATAAGACCTCAATACCTTCACTGATAATCCATAACATTTCAGAGTCCCATAAGAAAAGCGCACTGAAGAACAAGCGCGTCCGCACTATTTTCACACCCGAGCAACTAGAGTGCCTGGAAGCTGAGTTCGAACGGCAACAGTATATGGTCGGGCCCGAGCGGCTCTATCTGGCGCACACGCTGAAGCTGACGGAGGCACAGGTGAAGGTATGGTTCCAGAACCGGAGGATCAAGTGGCGCAAGCACCACCTGGAGCTCACCCAGCAGCGGCTGGCGTTGATTCGACAAACACAGCTACCCGGTTCCGCGATATTGGGCAATCAGGTGTCCGGTTGTACAGCGAATCCAGTGGGACACTCTGCTTCCACGGATCTTACAGCCGGCATTGCAGCTTCGCCAAGGAGCTTGCCAGAGGAGGAGGATAACGAGGACAGTAAGCAATCGCTTTCGTTGTCCGGTGCAATGCCATCGATGAGTCGGGCTCAATCCGAGTCGGATCTATCCATTTGCAATGATTCCCTAGATGGTGACAGTCTTATGGATGGCAGCGAAGAAGCTTAAGATAAAATTCCAGTGCAAAGCCAACATTTTCTGTAAATATCGTCAAAATAAATATGTAAAATATGGTTTATCTTTTCCTTTTTATCAACTGTTCGGCGAACTGTTTTGTCAAATTATAAAGCAAGATTTTATTTATATCGAATCAATTTGTATACATGTCATTAAAACAATTATTTACTGTATATATACATTGTACACTGTTACATCGGCTTCTGCACTTTTTATTTCAATTACCTATCAGGAAAAGTATACTCCAGATCATTGCTGAGCCGCCGCCCTTGCAATGCGATCGTGGCAGGATAGATGCACAATTTGACCATTTGGGTAGCGCACGAATGCTGATTGACTGGGAAATCGCTTTTTACACTCGGGGCACACACTGAACTCGTTTATTTCGAAGCTTATGTTACGCTGCGCCTGTAGCGCGACCTCTAACCGATTGACCTCTGCCTCTAGGAGGCCGCAAGTCATCTGCATCTGGTGCTTGTCGGCCAGTTTTTTGCGTATCGACTTATCAAGATACTTTTCTAATTGCGGCATGGGCATGTCATCGGGAAGGTGCTGCAACGAAAAGCGAGCATACAACTACGAGTAAAAAACAAGAAAGAAAGCTAGCTTCGGCAAGCCGAAGTATATATACCATTGCAGATAGAACTTAAATCACTTGGAATTAATACAACATAAATTCATTCAAAAAGCTTAAAAACTGAGAGACTGGTTTGCGTAGAAACGGACAGTCGGACATGGATAGAACGACTAGGCTGTTGATGATGATGATGATGTTGCCTCCTTCACTGCGTTTCAAGCTTCTGGCTAAAAAATTTTACACCTTGCAAGGGTATAAAAATAGGGAGAGTTAGGTGTTACCTCAAATATCTCGAAGGGATCTATTTTGGTGGCGTATGCATTGAGCAAGTCCAGGGCCACCTTTCGATTAACCTGAACAAAGTCCGGATGCAAGGTTACTCCCTCGTAGAGCGGCTGTGCGGGGGAATAAGAATACACTTGATGAGCGTGTGGAATATGTTCTCATCGTCATTGTAGTTGGCTTCTGCATATTCCGTCGCCTTGGCCACATCGCCTAGCACTTGAATATAGATGGCTAGCACCTTATCATGCTTCTTCAGTCGACCGAGGATAAGGGCACGCTCCTCCAGCAGCATATTGGTGGGGAATTCCTCTAGCATGCGATCTGGTGAATAAAAGTTAGATTCCTCTAGCATTTTGTAAAGCTTGGCGCGCATTGCCTTCAGGGTAGATGTCTCGCCCTCCTCACTAGAAGGGCCCTGCTGTCCCAGAAGGCGTTGTACCTGTTCGCGGTACTGCTTGAGAAGCACGTTATGCAAAAGAGTTGTCGAGTTGCGCCGCTCGTTAATTAGGTGTTCCAGGTAGGGAATGACTAGTGACTTGTGCTTGCTGATTAGAAAGTCTAGGACCTTGGCCGGCGGGAGGGACCCCTCCTCCTCTTCATCATCTAGAAGTTCTTCGGTGAAAATACATAGACCCTCCTCAGGATGCTCCTGCAGCACCCAGTCGGCAAACTCAAAAATCAGTGGCAGGTGATCGGCGCCAAGCTCCTGCAGATATCGGATCGTTCTCTTTCTTCCTTGCAGCACCGATCCTTTAATGGCTGCCTGCTCTCGGAGCAGCTTTAGGGCTTCCCTGTGCTTGCCTTTCATTTGATACAAAATGATCAGCTCAGAAATTTTGTTGTGCTTCTTCAGTGTTTTCTCTGATTCCTCCAAATGGCACTGGTTGAGGCGAAGGAGTGGCGCCACCAGCGAATCGTTCGTTTGCAGGTAACACTTGAGCAACGTGGTATCGATTATCTCCAGCAAAGACTTTGAACTGCTCTTGGCGTCGCGCAGCTTTACCACTTCCCGCTGACGGGCCAAAGCCAGGAACTCGATTAGCGCCAAGTAAGCATTCTCCAAATCGCCATCCTCCAGTGGCGGAGCACTTGATGGAACGGCTATGTTTTCTGTGCCAGGCTTTGGCTCGGGCACCAAATTGGGAAACAGTCGAATAACATCATACGGATCAATGGCAGCCTTCTCGAACTCTGTCATGGCCGACGAGAACTCCTTGTTGGTGAAGAGCTCTTTGGCATAAAGCATGTGGATCTGACGAATGGTCTGAGCCCTGTCCTCAGCAGGTTCATTTGAAATTTGCTAAAAAGGCAATGAGCGATTGTTAGCTTTTTTCGCGATTTCCTCGACTTTGACTCACTGTCAGCTCAATGGCCAGTTGAAATTTCTTTTGCTGCAGCAGCTGTTGACGCTGTGTCGGTATTTCAACTAGGCGGAGACACCACAGCTCTGAGGTGGCGGCGGCAAAGATCGTCCCCTTGTCGGCGTGCACCAGGAAGCGTGTCTTCTGCAGTTCGGGAATGCTTTGAACCAGTGTGTCCTTGCCAACGAGACTGCGAACCTCGATGGCGTTGTTGACACGACCTACTGCATAGGGATCATCCCAGACTGTAAATGATTAGAAAATTAATAAAAAATCCTATTAGAAATTTTAAATTTCTACCCAAATCTAGCAAGGGACTTGACCAGAGTAATGGAGTGAGCAAATTCTTGTTTTCCATGCCCCCTGGTCTCACGTTTTCAAAAGAACTAGCGCTCCCATCCTTGTTATCTTTGTACTGGCTGGGATCGACGATCACCAGGTAGCTGTCTTTGGAAATGCCAAGCATATTGTTCCGTATCAGACAGATACACGGATCTCTGCTGATGCTCGACGAAGTTAGGAAGAGATCGTGCTTCTTTGGTGTCTTGCAGGATATCTGCACAACAGAAAATAGAAAACACCTAATTACGATTTTTAAGGTTGCTCGCTTACATCGTACACCACATATTCGTCTTTGTAGCCCACGCAGACGGCATGTCCAGCCCAGCACAAGGAGCGCGGCACATCGCTCAGCTCAATGCTCAGCTCCAGCGAGTCCAGCTTGTCTTTTTTCCAAAAGAAGAACACCAGACGTCGCTTGATGGCGCAGCACACACGGATAAAAGTGGCAACCTCGCCCGTGGTAGACTTTTGCGAGTCCACGTCCATGGCAAAGAGGGTACAACCCTTTGTATCCTTGGCGCTGTGCATGAAGGCGAAGTTGCTCTCGATGCGACTGATGTCGCAAACCTGCACCAGGCTATCGGTAAGCACAAAGAGCAGGTTCTCCTCGACAGTTACCTCCATCTGGGTGATCGGCTTCCGGCTAAAGTTCTTGTTAAACATGCGCATGTCCACGCCAGCCACTTCGTCCACCGAGTACATGATAAGCTGGCCGCTTCGGGTGCCCAGGATGACATGGTTACCTGGAACGTAGTCCGCACGATTATTCAGCCGTTTAAATTCCTCGACCCACTTACCATAAGCCGCAATGGACTCTATCTGGACGCCCTGCTTTAGGATTGAGTGTACATTATAGGCCTGGTGCATCTTGAAGTGGGCTAAAGGTGCCCTAAAATCGAATATTCAGATAGAACCACGGTTTGCGAGCCCAAAAACATTTTCTTCTGTTAGTGTTGCCATATCGTTTTGAGGTGGCTTACTAGATATGGGGAAAAAAAGTTCACACTAAAATTTACCGTGGGGAAATAGAAAAAATTAAATGACGCGGGCAGTAAGAATCAGATGAATATATATTTGGTCACTCAATTATAGAAAATTCTCTGTATACAAACAAAATCTAAATACTGTGTAAACGGCAACTATTTCTTTTTTCTAGCGTACAAGTGCCGAAATTAAAAATGTATTTTAACTTAAAACATTCCCTTTTAGCTGAGAACATCGATAGTTAGGCAAAACATCGATAGCTCAAGGTAATCGAAATTACCAGTTATGTTTTTCCACCACTAATCACCACCACCATTGACAGCAGGAAAAAAGCAGCTTGGAATTTACAATCTAAAACAAAGTAAATAAAAGGTTCGCCATGTCTATGTCCAAGACCACGAACACCTACAACCGTCAGAATTGGGAAGATGCCGAGTTTCCTATCCTCTGTCAGACTTGTCTTGGGGACAATCCGTACGTGCGTATGATAAAGGAGCGATTTGGCAAGGAATGCAAAATCTGCACGCGTCCGTTTACAATATTTCGGTGGTGTCCAGGCGCCCGAATGCGCTTCAAAAAGACTGAGATTTGCCAGACATGTGCTCGCCTAAAGAATGTTTGCCAGACCTGTCTTTTGGACCTTGAGTACGGGCTGCCTATCCAGGTCCGCGACGCTGCCCTAAAGGTGGCAGACAACATGCCACAAAGTGACGTTAACAAGGAGTACTACATACAGAACATTGACGCCCAGCTGCAGGATGGCGATGGCACTGAGGCAGCCGGTGCGGTCGGGCGCTCCCTGGCTGCGAACGAAATGCTATCCAAGCTGGCACGCACAGCACCTTACTACAAGCGAAACAGACCACACATTTGTTCTTTCTGGGTCAAGGGAGAATGCAAACGCGGCGAGGAGTGCCCTTACCGCCATGACAAGCCAAATGAACCCGACGATCCCCTGTGTGAACAGAATATCAAGGACCGTTACTATGGCCGCAATGACCCAGTGGCCGAGAAGATTATGAAGCGAGCGGCTTCTCTTCCTACTCTTGAGCCACCAGAGGACCGCAATATCACCACACTTTACGTTGGAAACCTTCCCGAAGAGATCACGGAGCCGGAACTACGGGACCAGTTTTACCAGTTCGGAGAGATTCGTTCCATTGCGCTAGTGCCACGCCAGCAGTGTGCTTTCATACAGTACACTAAACGGGGCGCTGCAGAACTTGCCGCTGAGCGCACCTTTAACAAGCTGGTCATTCACGGCCGGAAGGTGAGCATCAAGTGGGCGCATTCCCAGGCGAAACAGGGCACAGCGGCAAAGACAGACAGGCGCTTTGATGTTACCGGAATCGCGCCACCCAGCGCTAAGCCGAATGACTACTTTAATTTGAGACAGGAGCAAATAAACGTCATGCCAGCCGGCATGAAATTGCACCAGCTACCATCAAACTTGGTTCCCGCATCGGCATACCAAATGTACGGGCAACCCACCTACGCTGCACCCTACAGTAACGCTAACTCTACAGTCACGTCTACCTCTGGTGTGAGTCTAGACTCGATTCCACCGCCGCCTGGTCAAATACCCTATCCTAGCCAAGATGCCAGCCGAATGGGGGCTGTGAAGAAATAGAGTTATGCTCTACTTTGCGAAAACTATTTTTTATAAATATGAATCAAGTATATCCAGCTAAATGTTCGCATATATTTCTTTGGTGCAATGTCAACAATAACTTTTAAATGATTGTAAATTAAAGACGACAATGCCCACAGAATTTCAGCAAGTGCGAAAAGAACTTTTAATAAATAGTTGCGAGAGTAATATACATATTTCCAACAGGGATGTATGTATATGCATTTTGCTTCAACTTAAAACAACCGCTTACTACAGTGGGTATTTGGGAAAAATTAAAACCATTCACTAAAAACAGGTAAAAAGGCCTTGCAATCACATTAATCTGAAAGGAAGTTATTTTAAAAGTTACATACATATGTTTTTCTGAACCCGAATCGGATTTGGCAAAATCAACAAATTAAAATGTTAACAAGAAAGGAAGCTAACTTCGGGACTCCGAAGTTTATATACCCTTGCAGATCGAACTTTGATGACTAGGAATCCATACAATATAAAATATATATATATTTATGTTAAAAAACAATGAAGTAATACCTGCTTTCATTTCATTCACCTATACATATTATATTTTCAGTTTTACATTCACTGATTTGCATTTTTCCTCCACATCAAACGATCGTTTGTATGGCACCTATATGATATAGTCCTCCGATTTTCATGAAATTTGACACAAAATTTAAGACTTATATAAAATGGCTATACCTCAAATTTGATGAAAATCAGCTGAAAACTGAAAAAGTTATAAATTTAATTGTATTAATTTATCGATCGTTCCTATGGGAGCTATATGATATAGTCGTCCGATTTTCATAAAATTTTACACAAAATTGTAGAATAATATGAAATGGCTGTTGAAAACTAAAATTTTATAATTTTTTTTGTAAAACTTTTCCGATCATTCCTATGACAGCTATATGATATAGTCGTCCGATTCGGCCCGTTCCGACATATATACGAGTGAGAGTATAAAGAAGACTAACTGCAAAGTTTCATTCAGATAGCTTCAAAACTGAGAGAGTAGTTTGCGTAGAAACGGACAGACGGATGTGGCTAGATCGACTCGGCTGTTGATCCTGATCAAGAATATATATCCTTTATATAGTCGGAGGTGCTTCCTTCACTGCGTTGCAAACTTCTGACTGAAATTATAATACCCTGCAAGGGTATAAAAATAAGCGACTCAGTGCAGGAAACAGTAGAGTCGATCTATGCAATTTAGTATACCTGTTTTTAAGCTACATATCTTAATGAAAGTTGCATATTGTATTTATTTATTTATTTTGGTTTTTTTTATACCATTTCGAGTCGATCAAGCCATGTCCATCAGTCCGTTTCTATTTTGCAGTAGTATAGAGGACTATAAATCGGACAAATATTTATCATATAGCAGCCAAAGAAACGATCGGTAAATGTACAATTGTATATGTACATATGTACATAAGTACAATACATAACACCGTAATTGAAAATATATTATTTATAGATAAATGTAATAAGAGTAGTTATTTTTCAACATTTATTTTTTTTTAATGCAAAAAAGTGTGCACTGTTTTTAAAACATCGATGTTTCATCGATGATTTTTGTGGAAACATCTATGCCTAAGATATTCGATGTTTTTCCACCTCTATTACACCTTCAACTCATCATGATCAGAAAGGATATATGTATGTCAAATTATTTATTAATTTCAAACTTGGCTAAAACTAAAATAATCAATTTATTTATGTTATGTATATAGGTTTAGAGCTCATTTCTTATATTTTAATAAAGTCACTTACGTATTTATAACATATTTAACAGTTTTATTAAAATAAATATATTTAATATTCATAGTATACTGAAAAATGTTCGGTCTATTTTATAGAAAGTGTCATGCCCGTACGTTGATTAATGAAATGATTGCCATTCCCAGTGGGACGCGTGTTTCTTGGCGACGATTTAAATACTTGTTGAGCAGCTTTGATTATCACCCCAGTCTGCTTGAAAACGATCAGATAATTAGAACTGTCGCCAGCTATGACAACTGCCTACCTCGGTACAATTATTCACACAAAGTCTTTTGGAGAGTTTGAGTCCTTCCAAAATGGGTTTATTGTGGTGGACAGCAGCGGAAAGGTAAGCATGTGAAAGGTTACATACATATGTTATTGCGCGGAAATGATCTACTAATATCTATACATATATGTTATTGCGCGGAAATGATCTACTAATATCTATATATTTTTCCCGCAGATAACAGGTGTTGGTAACGACTATCAGGAATGGATTTCCAGAAACCCGAACACAGATCTGACCGAGGTGACCCTATCGGACTATCAGTTCCTGATGCCGGGATTCGTGGACTGTCATATACATGCACCCCAATATGCGCAAATCGGTCTGGGACTTGACATGCCGCTTTTGGACTGGCTCAACACGTACACATTCCCGCTGGAGGCAAAGTTCTCCGACCAAAAACACGCCCAGCAGGTCTACAAGAACGTTGTCGTAAGTACCAAAGTAAAATCGAAAATTAGGAGGGCCCGTATTTCTTATCAATTTAGCTCTATACATATGTACATCTGTACATACAATATACACATACATCTGTTTTCTACACGTCGGTCGCCATAACGCCTTCCAAGCAATCCAAACTGTGGTCAACCATCTAGAACTAATATAAATGATATTGTAATACTCCCAGTCAGCAACGCTCCGCAGTGGAACCACTCTGGCTTCCTATTTTGCAACAAACAATCTGGAATCGACCTTGATACTAGCGCGGGAGGCAGTGCGTCAAGGCCAACGGGCGCTAATCGGCAAGGTATGCTCCAATTGCAACAGTCCCGACTACTACGTGTGAGTATTGAGCGTGACGTATTTGTGTCTCAAGTGGAGTAAGTCCAATTTACCGATTTTCTTAGGGAGGACACGGAGCAGTCGGTCTGTGCGACAATAACTTTTGTTGAAGAGATGAAGAAGATCGGTAGTCCGCTTGTGTTGCCTACGATCACGCCTCGGTTTGCTCTTAGTTGTAGCAAGGAACTCCTAAAAGAGCTTGGCGATATTGCAAAGCGGTTCGACCTTCATATCCAAAGCCACATTAGTGAAAATCTGGCTGAGATCGAGGTCGTAAAGGACATCTTCAAGACAAGTTATGCTAGGGCCTATGACAACGCTGGACTTCTTACAGACAAGGTGATCCTTTCATTGGCCTTCAAAACTTTCAGTTTATTTATATTATTTTCTCGTAGACGGTCATGGCGCATGGCGTGCATCTGGAGGACGATGAGGTCGAACTTCTGAAAGCTAGGGGTACCTCTGTGGCTCATTGTCCAGCTTCAAACACGATGCTTAGCTCGGGACTGTGTGATGTCCAGCGGTTGATTAATGCTGGCGTGACCGTTGGCCTTGGCACCGACGTTTCTGGTGGAAACTCTGTATCGATTCAGGACGCCTTACTACGATCGTTGGATGTTTCAAAGCACCTAGACTTCTTCAAGAAGCAAAACATACGCGGTTCCGGGAAGGCTAAAACACCCGATCACACCTACGTTCACCTAAAGTACAAACAGGCTCTCTACTTGGCAACTTTGGGAGGCGCCAAGGCTCTCTCTCTTGACCATCTGACTGGAAACTTTATTGTGGGCAAGGAGTTCGATGCTCTGCTGATTGATGTAAGCGTCGTTGAAAAGCCAGTGCGGCTGCTAAACGTTGACGAGCTTTTGGAGAAGTTTATCTACACTGGAAGTGATCGCAATATTCTGCAAGTCTTTGTGGCAGGCAAGCAAGTTAAGAAGGATTAGTAAAACGATAAGGCATTAACAGCGGCATATATAAAGAATTTATTTCTATACATATAGATAATCGGTAATACTTTAACGGAGTTTCGTGTTTTTCATATAACCGATGTTTGTATACTATTATGTACAGTAAATTTTTTACACTGTATAGTCGGAACAGTTGCATTAATAAACTTTGTATATTACTTTTAACTTTAATTTCAGTTAATAGTAGGCATTTAGCTTAATCACATATTGGCTATAAGTGAAGGAGAGATATATGCGAAACGTCACACTGCACGATCAGCACAGAGGAGAGTCGAACTTCCCGTGTACATAGTGATACATTTGTGAATGTCTGAGGGGTTTGCCTTTTCTCTGCTCTTCCAATTTTGTGCTAAAAATAGAATAGGCTTTAAAGGTACAAAATTAAGTATGTTGTCCTTAGGATTTTCGGAATTTCAAAGGGTCGAATATTTATACTCCTTTAGTGGCATAATCCATTACTTTGACTTTAAAAAGCTTAGGCTTTTGAATAACTTTTACGCTAGTTTTAGCTACGAGTAATTAGGTAATTAAAACTAATTACGATAATTATATATATCGAAGTAGAGGGCGTTTTACGCATTGAACATGTTTTGCTGCGTGGCATCGTTTTCGAAATCTGTCCAGGCATTGTTCAGTTCCATGAAAATGAGCTTGGCAATCTCCTCGTTTTTGGTTCCATTATGCTATAAGAAAGTGCGTTAAGTCAATTAACAACAAGAAAGGAAGCCAACTTCAGCACGCCGAAGTTTGTATACCCTTGCAGATTGCAATTCATTCAATAATATAATACAACTTTCGTGAAATTCACCTGTACATACTATATTTACGGTAACAATTTTACATTCACAGCTATATGCTTTTATAGCAGATATATACGATATGATGTAATCGTGCGATTTTCATAAAATTAAACCAAAATTCTGATATACTATTGAATGGCTATATCTTGAATTTTATGAAAATATGTTGAATACTGAAAAAGTTGTAATTTTTAATTTTATTAATTTTTCTAGGATAATACTAAATGGCTAAATTTCAAATTTCACTAAAATTTGTTGAGAACTGAAAACTTTTTTTCTACAAATTATCCGATAATTCCTATGGCAGCTATATGGTATAGCCGTCCGATCTGGCCCGTTCCAAAATATATACGAGTGAGAATATATAGAAGACTTAACTACAACGTTTTATTTAAATAGCTTCAAAACTGAGAGACTAGTTTGCGTAGAAGCGAACTGACGAACATGGCTAGATCAACTCGGTTGTTGTTTATATATTTGAAGATGACTTCATTGTGTTGCAAACTTCTGATCGAATTTATAAATAGCCTGCAAGGATATAAATAGACAGTATTGCACAAACCTTATCTGGATGGACGGCCAGGCAGGCACGACGATATGCTTTCTTCACCTCAGCTGGGGTTACCATGGTAGACATCTCACAGCGCTGCCACTTGGCATTATCCCACAGCACTGTGTGCATAGAGCAGAGAAGCGCTCGGATATTGTTCTTTTTGCCGTCGGTCTGTGGAAAGTGAAATCAATAAGGACAACGCCTTTTCCAAGGAGTTTCCTCGTCTTACCCATTCCATAATGAGCACTTTCTTGGGATCCATGTCCTTAACTAACTCCTCCTTACGCATTTCGTTAATAGATCGCGGACCTTGGTTCATTTTACTGCCAAAAGAGTATCCTTGTTGCCCTAGAATGTCAGCGAATATGTCAGAGCTTTTGTTTCCGCTAAAGCCCGCTTGCTGTGCAGGCTTCGGTGAATCGAAATGCACTCTGCTATAATCTGGACGGCCTTGGCCAGTCTGTGACTGCGGTGGTTGTGGTGGGGTTTTGATAAAAGTGCCGTGTGCTTGTTGCTGCTGCGGGGTTGTGGACTGAGAGGGTTTGTGTGTCGGACTAGGGTATTGCGTAGGTTGTGGGCTACTGCCAGCTTGAGGCTTTCCACTGAGCGTGTTGCGGGGGAAATTTATGTTGAGTCCGGATGCCAGATTCGCAATGTCAGCAAAAGGATCGGAAGGTGCCGTTGGTGGTTGATTTGGTGAAGACTCTTTTCTGGTCACTGGCTGGGTTACAAAACTTGGCAGGGATCCCCCATATGGTGGAAGAGTTGGTCCCGCTGTCGGCTTAAGGCTGGTTGCTCCGCTGTGATCTGCCGATCCAAAGAGGTCAAATAGGTCTGCGTTGATTTTTGCCTGATTCGGCGGCGGCAACGGCGCTGCTGGAAGGACATCCGGTATTGGTGCTGAGCCTATACCGGTGGAGTTATCATCGCCGAAGGCCCCCAACAAATCAAAGCTGGCATCAGAACTGGGCATGGCGCTTCCTAGGGGGTTCGCTGCTGGTGCTTCGCTGGGCTGCTGATTGAGGTTGAGCAGATCAATGGGTGGGGAGGGCTCAGGTGTAGCCATCGGAGGATCATGGGAGGTCTCTGTGACATCGGGCAAAACAAGCGGAGAACTGGCGCGCTCAGATTTCCTCAGTGGAGGAGGAGACGGTGATGCTTGATTGCTGGGCTTCGTTACTAAAATAAGGTCAAATAGTAACTTGTCCAGAGGCTATCCAGTGGCACTTACCAAAGTTATCCAGCATCTCGGCGAATTCTAGATCCGAGCTAAAAAGGTTACTTGGCGATCTCTTGGATTTGGGTGGCACCCATGGTGGCTTGTGACTGGGAGGAGTTTCCGAATCAGTTACGGCCAGCGAAAGGGACACGCAAAAGTTCGACGTCACCTGCTCCGGATCTGGCAAGTCGTCAAGATCATTGCTGGTGAAGGTGATCAACGTTTCCGGCTCGGGAATGAATCCTGTGTTTATTTGGAACTGACAGATTTTAAGACCCTGCGGGCGCACCATACCCTTACGGGCGTGGTATAATACTATTGTCACATCGCCGCACACAGTCAGATTAATAGGTAGCACTAATTTTCCCGGACCAGCCTGGTGTAAGCTGCAAGGTTTGGTTTCCATGATGAAAAAAACATAGCTCAATACAATTCGTCCCGATCTTACCGCATGTTTTCGTAGTCTTGCAACGTGCTGAGCAACATTTTCTCATTGCAGTACACCTCCATGTATATACGACAGCCATCACGTGCCTTGGTCATCCTGGGAACAGGCTGACAGCTTAGTGCTACCAGATTAGTGTTCTTATAGTGCGGCAGAAGCGGAGTGGGTCGCAAAATATCGCCAAAGTAATACAGGTAACGGAATTCGGAGGGTCGCATATTAATGGTGTGACGCTTGACAGCGAACACCTGAACAGCATCTTCTGGCTCTTGAAGCAGGTCTGCATACATCAGCAGTGCGCTTACAACAGTGGCTGCAGTACACCCACCCGAATCTCCAGTCTGTATGATTACAACCGATTTTGCATCGGCAGTGAGGAAGTTGTACATATCCGCTGACACTGTAAAAAGGCCCTGATGGAAAAGACATGATTAGATTATTGGTATAACCTTCGCTTTTGATCCAACTTTTGCGTATCTTTACCAAATAAATGTTGAACTAAAAACTAATAGTAACATGATGCGTAAAGCCCATATATTTGAATTTGCCCTATGGGCATGTCTGCCAAGTGGTCAACCAGTCCTAAAAATTATATTTTTCATATTTCATATCCAAATCAAAACTTGCATTTTGCAACGGTTCTATAGCATATATCCCTGTTGCTTTCATGAAAAAATTAGACTGATGACTATAAATATTATATTCGTTCTTATTAATCTTACTGTTTACAAATTGCATAATATAGTTGCACTCTTTCTACCATATGTCTTTACAATCTATTAAAAATAGAAAAATATTTTTTTAAGGAACATATACATTGTATGCTGGAAGATGAAAGAAATCTTTCATTCGCAACCAGTACACAATTTGTTTAAAATTAAAGTTAGCTGATTTCGCCCTACCGTTTTATGTATGTCACCTTGCAGTTTGTAATTGGATTATTGAATATTTATCTAATTCGGGCACATTAAAAAATCAAACCAAACCAACCAAAAGAAAATCATTTTAAAGTGTTATAAGAAACCTATATCTTAGGGTTTTAGGAGTGTATGTTTAAAAAAAGTAATGCCAATTTGCATTTCATTCACCCGTTAGTTTCATATTTACAGTTTTACAGCCAAAGCCTTACAGTCAAAGTTATACACTATTTTTTTTATTTCTATTCATTTTCCGGACTTTTTTTACAGGTATATTATATGGTTTCAGTTTTTCCGACGTATATAGTAATTAGAACATCTGTAAGTTTTGTTTAGATAGCTTTAACCTAAAATAATTGATCCCTGGAACCCGGTATTCAAGGTTTCTATCACGCAGTAGTTTTCTGGCTAATATGAATTTAAGACGAACCTACGATATGAAAGTCCTGATCCCAATTTTTTCGGTCAAACAAAATATTTTGGTTTAATCGGAAAGTTTATAGAAAAGACGACACTCATTATTTTATATAAGTTGAAATAGTTGAATAGTTTAAATTTTTAGTTTTTTCTTTTTAATCATACCTCTGATGTACGATCGATCTGTGATTTTTAGTAAGTAACACATATTTCATCACGCTTTCTACCTATATTGATATCGATTTAATAAAAAGTTGTAAAATGTTTTCATACCTGTAGATTGGGAGCGTGAGCCTGCGGGCATCCAAATACATAGCCAGCCTCAACTGTACGCACGGGTGGTGGTAATCGGGGCACTGAACGCTGGTCAAAGTTGTAAATGCTTATCTTCTGTGGGGAAAAGCGACCCTCTAAAGACAGGCGGACGTCGTCGATGTTGTTGGTCTTGTAGGCGGACTCAAAACCGTCGGACGGGCAAGGCATCACCAGGATCCGGGAGGTAATATAACTGATGTCAAGATCGTTACGGGCAATTGATTGTTGCACTGTTTGCATTACTTTGGTGGAGGTATCCTTAATGTTCTTAAACAGTGTTCCAGCACCTCCACGAAGAGACGACAGTAGGCTACCGTGTCCATTGCTGGAGGATGGCGTGGAAGTCGAGGTAGGCGCTATTTGGGGGGCGGCAGTAAAGGCATCAAGGTAAAATTCCGACTGTCCGGCGGTCTTTCGAGCTGGACTCTCGGCTGGAGACGACTCGATGGGTATGCCCCTCAAATTCAGAGGTCCTTTAAGGGACCAATTGTTTGTTTCAGCGATAGATGCGAGCCTCTCCAGCACCATAGCAATGTCCAAGCGCTCCGCGGGATTTACTTTAAAACAACCTGTAATGATGTCGCGGAAGCAATGATATCGTGCATCTGGTGGAAGAATGTAATTGGCGTTAATGATGCGAAGTTTTCCACCGTCTTCGAAGGGATGCCTGCGATAGCATAGAAAGTAAAGGATGCAGCCCAGAGCCCAAATGTCTGTTTTAGGACCAATCGGGTTGTTGGACCAGGTGTCAAGCATTTCAGGAGCCCGGTACATGGGCGTCGTTACAGTGTTAAGCTGGTCCTCCAGCATGTTTCGCTGATGCGCGCTCCAATCAAATGTCGGCGCGAGCACCTCCTTGGTAGCAGATCCAAAGTCACATAACTTGATCTGATTATCGTTTCCAATGAGGAAATTCTCAATCTGCAACAATTTGGAGAATCCCTACAGTTTAGTGCGCCAGTGATAAGTGTATTAAATACCTACCTTTATGTCTCTATGGGTTATCGGTGGCGCTTGTGCGTGCAAGTAGGCCACACTCCGCGCCATTTGGTAGAATATTCTCAATACCAAAGATGGATCATAGGCTGGGGTATCAGCATTGAAGCAATCTATCAGGGAGCCACCTATAAATCAGAGTTCATTATGTACTTTACAAAATTTAACCTATTGTAATGCGGTGCTTACCTTTACACAGTTCCGTAAGAAGAAGGTACTGGGCACCCTGCTGTGGAGAGGGAGCGGTGTAGCTTGATCCCACAAAAGTGACAATGTTTCCGTGGCCCGAAAGTTGCTTGTGTATACCGATCTCATTAATGATGGCGTTACACGCTTGCTGATCAGCGCCGATCAGACGCTTGAGGGCGTACTCAGTGCCAGTTTGCACATCTTGAGCAACGTACACAAAAGCGTATCCGCCTGGTGGATGGAAGAAGGAGAGGAAATTGATAACGCGGAGCTGATAAGGGGCTGCTTTAATGAATATTCATAGCACAGTGGTGTCTTCCAATTGCTCAAAACCAAAAGGGGAGTTTACCAGTCTGACCGGAATGGACTATTTTAATACCGCTGCAGTCACTCGTAAAGGACATGCCGTGAAAAAAAACGATCACATGACTCATGATGTGTAAACAAGTAGTGGTTAGGGAAATGACTATCTATTGCAGTGAAAAAATAACGCAGACTTCGATATCCCACTCGTCTTACATATTGGGTCGGGATTCGAATAAAAACGCAGAATGCATTTTCTCCAGAATGAGTTGATTTCTTTTTCCATTGATTTTTGCCATATTCGTTGCTGGCCTGCCCCGCGAGCCTGCATTCCGTGGCTTTAACCAAGCCGCTTACCTTCGGCGATGACACACTTGGTGCGCAGCCTATGGCCACCAACTTCCAGGCTCTGTCCCACGTAGTCGTTGTCCAGCCTACCACCGCTGGCTGCTCCTCCTCCTCCAGCCCCACCGCCTGCTGACCCGTTGGCAGCTGGGCTGCTGCCCTCACTGGAGGTGAAATAGTTGAGATTGAGCGATTTAAAGAAGTCGCCCATTCTGGTGGTGCCTACGCTAATGCAAGCAGTATGGTGGTGCCGTACTTAATCGCCAGGAACTGCTTTGTTTTGAATTTTTTTTATACTTTTTAACACAATTTGTACATTTCAGCTGCGCTACGACCAGTGTGACCACGCCAATAACGCTTAAATATATCGTCTGGCTTTGAAGAATATACTTTTTATACCGTCTTCATTTTATGCATATACCAATAACTTCTGTAATTCCACAAAATATTTAAATAAAAACATTATTAAATAAAACATAAAAATATATGACAAAAATTTACACCGGTAAAACTGCTTTAATGAAATCTAAAAAGCTTAATGGAAGTCGCATATAAAGTTGAGTTGCCAAAACGGTATTAAAATATATAATGCTTGTTTTTCCTGTGTAGCAATTATTTCCACAAGCTAACTTAGCAAAAATTAACAAAATAAACAAAAATAAGACCCCAATGATCCCAACTGTATGTCTGATATACATATGTATACATGTATAAATTTAAATTCAAAGACGACATCTTGGGCACAAAAAACCACCTTAAAGTTAGACCACCTCAAATGATCCAAAAATATTTATTTTATTCGGAGAAATAGTAAAATTATATTTTTCAATATTACAGCTTTAATTTTATAATAATCTTATGACTCGATCATATTGCTAATATTCATACGATCGTTAATATAGAGAAAAAGGCAAAGCTGTGATTTTAATACTGTAAATTACATACTATGTAATGTGAATGTAACGTTATTCGTTGGTTTTTAACATAAATATATTAATTTTTATTTATAACTAATGCTCGAATTACAAACTGGAACGGTATACAAACCTCGCCGTGTCGAAGTTAGCTTATGTTCTTGTTTTGAAGGATTTCTTTGCCATCGAATAGTAAAAAGAAACCGATAAGCCGAAAGATAAATAACTGTTATCGTTCCAATAGAATCGCAATTTTACCCATCACTATTAGGTATTTTACAAATAATTGAATCGATCTAAAGAGTCAAAAATGCAAGACTCCGAATTCGATGATTGGATTTTCGTAGGTGGGTATTATTCTAAATCTAGCATTAGTGTAAAATGCCTAAAATGCACTTGCCTAGACAAGGGAACATACGTTCGTTTTCATTTGCTTTTGCACAAACACAATTTAAAAGAAACATTAAATTAAACCTTGCTACATTGCTAAAAGGAATAAACAAAATAATTTAATAATAATTAATAATAATATTTTCTAGAAAATAATAGAAATACTGTTACTTAGTTAATAATAAGGATTTACAAAATATCTTTAATATATAATATATTAACAAAAAATAATGTGAAAATCGAAAATTACCCCGCGTCAACTTATGACTTGTATGAAAATGTTAGTTTTTTATTTTTTGACTTTGTTGGTATTCTTTTGTTTATTTTGATAATTATGATTAGTATTTGCCTATTTTTATTGTCAAGAAGCTCCAAAATTTGGGCAGGACTAAGTCAATTATGCTTTCCTTTTATAAATCCTTTAAAAAGCTAAAGCTGAAACAAAAATAAATTAAATGAATGAATTGGACTCGATTGACTAATAAAAAGATAGTCATAATCGAAATTTTCGACATTAAACATTTATTTACATAAAGTACTCGTAAAAAAGTCATTGACATAGAAAATAATAATATTTTATGTATTATTGAATGGTAAACTATTTTACTTATGAATATTTAAACAGTACTTTAGAAATTAACATTTGAATTTTATTTATAGCTCACATAGTTTATACAGTTCACGGTTTTAAGGTTTGAATGTATTATATCTCTTCACCAAATTGGCTTGGGCCATGAAGCTTTGTGTGTTGATTTTTGTTTAGGTGGGTAAACTCAGTGTCGAAGAACTAGGAAGGTTTTTGACTTGGGATTTTCCGGAATAAAATGCAGTGATAGGGAGGAGGCAATAAGCGAGTAGTCAAATGAAAATATATTTTTCAAGGCACTATCGCTTCAGTAAGTTAAGTAAGCAAGCAGTGCTTAGTATTTGAATTTATCTATTTATTTTATTTTTTTTTTTATATAATAATTTATAATTTTAAATCTTTGTTTTGAGAAGCAATATTGGATGTGTTTTAAATCTTAAATTCTATAAATCTATAAGTAATATCAAAAAATTCTTTAATTTTTTATTGAGCTTTTTTCATTATCCATCTTGTTCAGATCAGCTATTTATAAACAGCTATTCAACCAGCATGCCATATTTAAAGCGCCGATGAAGTCTTTGCCCTTTTGGCGGTCGCTTATTTTTCGATAAAAATATTTTCCTTTGAATATAAATGTGGTTATGTATAAATGTAACACAAATAATGTTGAATGTTCTTCAAATTGTCAAGCGTGCAAATTTCTGTTGCCTCCCTATAAGCTTCACTCTATGAATATGCAAATTATACTCTGTCTTATCTGTGTGTCCATTAGCTAGCAAAGCGAACGAACGCTCCGCCAAACTGCTCATCTGTATCGATAGCACGGATCTAGCATTGACACAATTTTCAGACGTTTTACTGCAGTCGGCCAAAACGAGGTAATGTAAGACAATAAACATTTTCCGAGCCATTTGGCGGATCGGTGATAACAAACAGAGTATTTGAAAAAGTTCCAATGGATGCAAATAGAAGAGACACTCTGTTTTTACAATTGCGAACGAGAACACGCGGCTGGGAATTCCCTTTGCCTTCATTAACACCACACCAACTGGACCTGCAACTAACTGGAGCAAGCATGCGACGGCAGCTGCGAGACTTTCCCAGACTAATCTGTCTGCTGGTAGCCTTGAGGCCCCTCAACACAAGGGCTCAGTTATACTACCCCAGTCCTCAGGCTGTGGCATTGTCCCCCACTGGGGTACCGGATGCAGCTCCAGGACTTCCCCGACTTCTGATATACAACCCCTTCAGTGGGCAACAGCTACGGCCGCTCCGCTACTCTGCCCTAATGCGGAGCGGTAGGCGTCCACCCGTGAATGGCAACATAGTGGAGCTGCCGGAGCTGTGGCAACCGTGCTCATGCGCCGAGTTTGCCTGTCGCTGCTGCTTGGGCTTAGTCCTTGGCTTCGGCGAGGCCTTCAACCAGCGCGTTTGTGCCGTCGTGGAGTACAGGCGGTCGGACTTGGGCTTGCGCCTCAGTGTGCAGCTGAACCAGCGCACAGTGGCAAACTTCGGTTTCTCCGCCCGCAATCCGCCCGACTACTGTGTCCCGCTGCTGCTCCCTTTGCCGCTGTTCAGTTGCCTCCGACTCTACGAAATCCGCACCCTTGGTGAGGGCAACGTTCAGGTATGCCTCTCGGTGGTTTTTAAGGTCCTGGCCAACCAGTTCTATGAGTACAGACTGAACTGCGTCCAATTCGGAGCCAATGGAGTCTACTTTGTGCGCGACGACGATCTACAGAATGATACCCAGCACTCAGAGGTGGAGCTTGACCAGCGGGAATTGACAGCCGAAAACAATTACGGGCATATGCCAAATGATAAGCTGGTCCCTGGGAATGGATTCGGGTCTTAATCCACAGAATTTGTATATTTCCTTCGCTCGTTTGATATTTTCATTACGGTCCACGCACGCTTCATTCTATAACTGTTTAAGTGAAAAAGTGAAATTTCTGTTAATAAAAAAGCTTTTTATTTCACTTCTCCAACCCACTCACTCCCGACGTACAGGGCCCCGTGAAAATAGCAAAAATTGGCAATAAAACTGACTTGGGTTATGTGAGCGATGATGCCTTGAAACTTAAGCTAGCCACGCAATGAGATATAGCACATCTCAGCACACCTACTTTTGTACTTTTGTATACTTGGTTCAGTACTTCGGGCCACTTTCGTTAACCAGCCCGAACTCGGCAATTAACTTTCTGCCAGCTATCGGCGGCGTTCATCTAAAGGTGCCAGCAAGAGTCAGGGGAGTGGCGACGCCGACCTTCTGACCTATGCGACCCTAATGGTTGTGGTGTGCAAAAAGCTAGGATACATGTACGACATATTAAAGTTAGGGAAATGCTTCAGGTTCGTATATATCCATTTTGGAAAAAAGTTAACTTGAAATGCTTAAACTTGCTGAGATTTCATTGAACTTTAACCATTTAAAGAAATTAGAAAATCATTAAAACAATTGTTCTATTGAGTAGTTTTCTGCCAAGTTTACCGCCAATTTTTTTTCTGAAGAAATTCCTTTCGATAACATAACATTAAAGCTCTTCATAGTCGAAAACACGTAATTTGGCCACTTAATCATGGCCATCTTGAGAAAGTCCAAGGATAGAGACAGGGAAATTTTAAATACCCTTACCGGCCATAATAATTTTGTTTAGATCTTAGAAGCACAGTGCAGGAATCAGTTGAACCTTTAAAAGAGATATCCCATATACATGTATGTATGTACATATGTACACATTATGAAAGATAATAATTTAGCTGATATAATATATATATACATATATATATATATATCATAAAATTTTTAAACCCTGCTTAAAATTTGGTCGGAATTAAAATACTATTGCATATGAAAAGCTTTCCTAGGAACGATTGGAACAAATATATTCAAAGCGACTAACTCTAGTTAGCTTCATTATTGTTTTTGCTCAACTGAATGTATTCAATATAAATATGTTAGACAACATTCTCAGATGGTTTTACAACTCTTTGTTTGCTTTAGATAAATAATAAAAAAAAATAACAACATATGTGATATGTTGACTTAATAAAACTGAAAGAAAGGAATTTTACTTGGGACCTTATTTTTAAATAATCAGAGTGCATTCATATAACACATCAACAGACATCTTCCGAAGATAATCCCATCCTTCTCTCACACAGTGAGTCCCTTTAATTCATCAGATTCCACAGACGGAAGTGAACATGTCTACTTTGATTGACAAGACGCTCAGAGAGCGCCAAAAAAGTCCAAGACAATTTAGTGACGAAACGCTCAAAGATGTAGGGGAGGTGGAAGCTTTGTTTCTGCGCTCCAAGCTACTGCTGCTTTTATTGTTGACGCTGAGCCGCCAGCGGAGCAATTGCGCAATTGTTCACTCATTTGCGATGCCTCTTTTCCAGCTTTGCTTGCCGTCTCAGATTCAGCCAATGTTGCTGTTTTCGAGAGCAATTTGGCTTTGCCTCTTTTTGTCTTCGGCGCAGCTGCGGCGACCGAGAGCGCCCCGCCCGCTCCTACTCCTCCGCTCCTCTTACCATGCCAGTCACCGACCGAGTGCGAGTGCTATCTGAAGCTGAAGTATTGCTGGTTGCGTTCGTTACCTTCGCTGCTGCCGCTCCGCTGCTGCCGCCTCGACTGCTGCGCCGTCGGCCTCCAAACACATGTATACATAATAATTTTACTTTTTTTCTGCCGTTTTCCAGCTGGCTGCTTTTTTACTTTTAAGCAAAAGTTTTTCATTCACCGTCAGTTGGATTTCGGTTCGCGCAGCGATCTGTCACAGCTTTCAGTAGAGTCGCCGCGCTAGCGAGGAAGCCGAAGTACACAAAGCACCAAAGACACCACCGTTGGAGCAGCAGGATCGTTGGACTACGCCCTGTACCTTCACGCCGACCTACTAGAAGGAGAAAAGTGAGTTCAAATCGCAGCAGTCAAGTGGCAAAAGTGGCCTGAAATGGTAACATTGTAAATAGTTGATATACATACATACGCCCAAAAGCTAAAGTAAAGTACAATCTCACCCAAGACTGCTCTTGCAGCTATTTGAATAAACATTTCTAAGAGACCCCCGGAAGAGTCACTTATTACGGTTTCTGGGGCCATGTCTCGTCATATCGCGTCAAAGTTGTCGACCTACCCCAAAGTAAATCATCGTCTTTGGTAGCGCAAGACTTTGGGAAAGTCCGCACTTAAGTCGCTCAGAGCGCACTCAAGTAGTTTAACACTTTGAAAAGTGCGTGGGCTAGATCAGGAGGAAGTTAGGGTCGGTGGAGGTAAGAGGCCCAAGTAAGGCCCACGACCCTTTAGTCAGAGCTGAAAGCAAGAAGAGTTTCACTTTCAATTGCGACACCCAGGGCCGGCAGGGAAGGGCCAGCAGGCAGAGTTCGGTGACTAACACGTGTAATTAAAAGATGCTGGCACAGAAGACCAAAACAAAAACCATAATTCGAATGCTAAGGCCCGCTGAGCACCTCGGCGACTGGCGGTCTTCACGGCGGTGGTGTCTTCAGAGTTTACGATCTTTGAGATTTCACATTTCATTGCGCAGAGGCTGTGCAGAAAGTACGAATGTGGATAAGTGAACAGCGGACCAAAGTCATGTAAAGTTTCTCAGTTTTGGGTGGGAAATGTTAATCATAAAAGTAAAAGTGAAATTAATACAGCGCCGGAGACAGCAGCGACGTCAGTCGCAGTCGCATTAGCATACAGCGCATGGCGGTGGCAGCGACCACTGCACCATTTTAACAATTGTCGATTACAATGAGCACCGACAGCGAGTCTTCGATTGCCCGGCTTCGGCCTGACTATCAATGTCAGCCTCGGTTTTTTGATCTCCTTACAATGCATGAAGTGTTGCACAGCGCGCCCACCTTGATTGACGCCGAACGTTAATGCTGCCCACTCCATTGTCGGTGCGGAGAGATCTGCCTTCGGCATGGAGTTGTCATAGATTCTGTGCCGGTCAGCGGGCATCTCGGTTGCAGCATCGCAGCATGGGGGCAAGCACCGCCAGTCAGTCGCGGCGCCGATTTGTATGCAAGCGACAGAAGATTCGCCGAAGCGAAGATTCACCGACCATCTATTTTGAATTCCCCGCAAGGGAACCAATGTTGGTTGCATATCAACACCAAGATCTCAAAGCAAATCGTAGTTACATGCTACTTGTGCCCATAACAAGGGCTATGGCCGAAACAAACGCCGCTCACTCATCGCTCTACATCAGTCGTTGCCAGCGCTATCGCCCCACTATCGCGATGATGTAATGCCCAATGACCGAGAGTTGCCGAAAAAGACGCAACTTGATGGCACACCATTCGTCGTGACATTGAAGCGTGCGCATTGCCGCTGCAGCGGCTGCCGGTCAGGGGCCTAAAAAGCGCTGACTCGCGCGAATGTGACGTAAAGGTACGACGTAAAAGTGACGAACGCAACTCAAAGTAGTGTGTCTTAATCGATGCAGTCGATGTAGAAATATACGCCAATTGATCTGGTGTGTGTGCATAACGAAATATATTTTCAGCTACAAAATTATGCTTGAAAAAAAAAAAAAAACAATAAAGTAAGATATTAAATTCTATTGCTTTTCAAAAGTGTACGCAATAGTCAGAAGGAGTATAAGGAACGTACATATGTATGTATATATTCTTAATCAGCTTCGAGAGTTGGTATAACCGTGTGTCTGACTGTTCATCTGATTAACCGGATAAACACCTTGATATCCGGTACTTCAGAGCTACATAATTTGTTGAAAATATTCTTATCGGTTTCTTGCGGATCAAGGTTTATTTTTTAATTGCCTACGCACACGCCTACTAATTAAATATGATATTTAGACTTAAACGGAGCTCAGATTTGAAAATATTATATATACATACTTTTCTGGACTAAAATCTAAAAACAAAAATATAAAAAAATCTAAACAAGAAATTTAACATTTTTACGTATTATATAAAAAAAATTGTTTCGTTCCTTTTTAAGATAATTTTCGAAATATCGCCGGCAAACGACACCACACAGTCAGAAGAAAAGGGTAACAATATTCATGACGATCGTTTTTTTTTTTAACAAAAGTAAATGTTGCGGCAGCTGGAATAAACTTTTCAATATAAACTAAAGTTTTCATATAATTATTCAATTAAATCCAGTGTGTCTATATTCCTAAAATAAAAGTACAACCGCTTAAAATAATGAATGAATTGAAATATTTTGCGTTCAATTATTTTTGGTCGTTCCTTAAATTTTTATACCCTTGCAGGGTATTATAATTTCAGTCAGAAGTTTGCAACGCAGTGAAGGAGGCACCTCCGACTATATAAAGTATATATATTCTTCATCAGGATCAACAGCCGAGTCGATCTAGCCATGTCCGTCTGTCCGTCTGTCCGTTTCTACGCAAACTAGTCTCTCAGTTTTGAAGCTATCTGAATGAAACTTTGCAGTTAGTCTTCTATATACTCTCACTCGTATATATGTCAGAACGGGCCGGATCGGACGACTATATCATATAGCTGTCATAGGAATGATCGGAAAAGTTTTACAAAAAAAAATTATAAAATTTTTAGTTTTCAACAGAATTTGATCAAATTTGAGATAAAGCCATTTCATATTATTCTACAATTTTGTGTAAAATTTTATGAAAATCGGACGACTATATCATATAGCTCCCATAGGAACGATCGAGAAATTAATTCAATTAATATGTATAACATTTTCAGTTTTCAACAGATTTTCATAAAATTTGAGATAAAGCCGTTTCATATTATTCTACAATTTTGTGTACAATTTTATGAAAATCGGACTAATATATCATATAGCTCCCATAGGAACGATCGAGAAATTTGAGAGGAATGAGAATGGCGGTGGCTGTTGTCGGAAGACTGACAATCGCGGTGGCGATAACATTTTTAGTTTTCAACAGAATTTAATCAAATTTGAAATATAGCCATTTCATATTATTCTAAAATTTTGTGTAAAATTTTATGAAAATCGGACTACTATATCATATAGCTCCCATTAGAACGATCGAGAAATTAATACAATTAAATTTATAACTTTTTTAGTTTTCAGCTGATTTTCATCAAATTTGAGGTATAGCCATTTTATATAAGTCTTCAATTTTGTGGCAAATTTCATAAAAATCGGACGACTATATCATATAGGTGCCATACAAACGATCGTTTGATGTAGAGGAAAAATGCAAATCTTTGAATGTAAAACTGCAAATATAATATGTATAGGTGAATGAAATGAAAGCAGGTATTACTTCATTGTTTTTTAACACAAATATATATAATTTATATTGTATGGATTCCTATTCATAGAAGTTCTATCTGCAAGGGTATATAAACTTCGGCGTGCCGAAGTTAGCTTCCTTTCTTGTTCTAAATGATTTTGTTTGTGTTATAAATTTTACGCAGCTTATGGTTTCATTGAAATTTAATCACAACATTTAGTTTTACAATACTATTACTGTATTTTTATAGGTATTTGGTATTTATACATTAATAAGAGATTAAATTCTTTTATGTCAAAGTGGGGCGTTAAAAATATGAAACTTTGAGTTGAAATTTTATTTTTGAAAAGATGTTTAGGTCTCAACCACTGCCACCTTAAAGCTTATGAAGATTTAAATATGCATTAAAAGACTCTTTCAAACTAATGTACATCTAAGAAACCCAAAAGAATATGCTTTACACAATATAGTTCTCTAGACTGGACAATATTATTATTATTACTGGTGGTATAACTCTTTATATATTTATTCAAATTTCGTGGTAAATATTTTGGAAGATATACCACTTTAACGCACCTAGATAAAAATATTTGAAATATTTTAAATTCAGTAAACAATTACAACATTTCTACAGACAAAAAAAAAGTACATATAAGAACAAAATGTTTGAGTCCGCGAGAGTCTACAGCGAATTTTCCTACGGCCGATTCATGTACTAGTTTTAAAATATAAGAGGATGAAAAACAAGAAAACTTCATATTCTATCGGTGAATTTTCTGAATGAAACGGCCGATGGACATGTCTTGATCGAAGAGTGTGTACTCTTTAATTTTCTCACGTTATTTTGATAGCTATAACTCTATAGAATAGTTTCTATAGACTTAGTCTGCAACAAATATCAGAAACGTGAAATCATTTTTACATTTCTCTGAATTTGGTGTAATGTAATGTATAAACTGATATGATATAATATAATATATATATATATCTGTATCTTTGTTTAATTTGAATACTTTTTACGCAATTCAGTATTACTTATATAATCACAGGAATTGTGAATCAATGTGTAATATTGTGACTGTTATTACACAAATCAATATTTCATCAGGCTCTTACAGTTCTTAATTCAAGATTTTTTGGTTTTATTGTGCGGTGTTTTTCTTAAATTTATGTTTAACTTAAAGAAAACTAATTTTATTACGTATAACTTCTTAAATCTAGAAATACCTTCTTACATTAAACACAATACAAGCCAGGCTGCTTTTAAAATAAGTTGGCCACAATTTTGTGATTCCTAGGTTTAGCAAAACATTTTTTATCGCAGTGTAAAGCCTCGAACAGCAGAAGCACCATCGGTGCACCGGAAAACGATTCGGACTCCCGATGTTTTCATCGGGTAACAAACGCGACTTGAAGCAGTCGGCCGAGTCGAGTTAAAAGTGAAAGTCTTGCCGGATCGGAGCGGAGTGATTTGGGTCGGCGAGCAGCCTCGTGGTTAGTCACCCAGACCTCCAGTGGTAGTCCCGGTCGAAGTCCCCACAATTGACGCGGCTGTGCCGTGAACTTTGGAGCGAGCATTTACATCAAAATTTGCAATTTACAATTTATTTAATTGTTTCTTATTCCCATTTCGTTGGCCAATTTTCACTCATTAGTGGGCATTGGCTTGTTTTTACTG